GGAAATACCTGAAACATTACAAGCTACAAATAACAATACTTTTTAATATATCTCCACACAATCATCATCACAAACATCATATGTTATACTGATTCCTAAGCCACTTTTCAAAGGTCTTGGGTGATACATTTATTTAAAGGCCTTGTTCTTTGACAAGAAGCTATGAAAGTATTGACAGAGAAAATAGTGAAGTCATAAAAATGGAAAATGCTTCCAAAGCAACAGTAAGGTAAAAGAAAGTGGAACACTTCCATACCACTTCTTGTATCGACTCTAAGTGATATTGGAAGATCTATAGCCTCACCACCAAATGGTGGTGAGATAAGAAGTCTATGTGGGAAACTTTTTTGGGTGCAGTTACAGTGTCATCTAGAATCATAATACAATATTTTCCAGAATAAACAGGAATTGTTGTGAGATAAGAGGAGATTGGAGAAGAGGAAGATCTTTTTGATGGTTCTCTTGCACTATGGAATATACTGCTGGCCTCTCCATCCTAATTGCCCTTTAAGAAAGATAAGAGATCTTTATTTTTAAATAGATATTCAATATTTTTATCTTGGAATATTTGTTTTACTTGTGTTTTAATCTTTAATGTAATTAATTAGACAGCTCTTCTATTATTGCTGAACACTTATTTAGAATCACAAGGTATCAGTAACTAATGACTAGTTTTGTGGATTGTATTTATGAGAACCCGACATAAAATAACTTCTAAATAGAAAAATAAAAGATTACTTGGAATATTAAATCAGGAAAATGTGCTTTGCCAGCAAAAACAAGTACTTAAATTGTATATGTTTCTGTTTCTAATGATATACAGAGTACAGTTATGAAATTATGCCCCTGCAGCTGCTTTTGAAGCGTCATAATATAATATGATTCTATTTCTAATTAAGTTACACTGACAGTACAAAAGAAAACACTGCAGTAAAACATTTGTAATGCTTAATTTAATTAATCAACCAACACATTAACGTTCTTACAAAATGGTAAGATAGGATGATTGATAATCATATGATAGGTTATGGATGGACCACTCTTTGCTGTGATTCCAGGAGACCTAATTTAAGTGGTAAAATAATACGCCAAAGACCATATTAGAGGAGCAGATATATTACAAACTAAATAAATTACTGCAAATGAGAACAGGAGACATGAGAAATAATTTAAGAGAAAACAGGCATTATCTTGTGAGCCACCCACATTTATCTTTAAGATGGGTAGCCATACAAATATTTTAAATAAAAACTCCTTTTTATCCATGCAATAATCTTTTATCCTTATTCTTTCTTATTCTCTATAAACAATTGAATGGCAAGAATCTCGTGGTGACTTCCATGCTTTGTTAGTTACTTCCAATTTTAGTGTGAGAAAATTAATATGCCATAGAAAATTACTATGCTATGCTATTACTATGCCATACAAAGCTTTTGTGGAAAGCAGGCACATGAAATATTATTCTGAATTGGTGCTTGCATCTCCAATTTTCTATAAATTTATATAAATGCATGAAGATTGGAAATCATTCTAAATGCAATAAAATATAAAAGTACAAATTCATAACATCTGTAATTGGTGGCAATCTCAGTTTTGCTATGTTAATCAACACCTGTAGAGTAACTGAGAAGCATTTGTATTTATTCAAGCAAAAATGAATGGAATAAAGCCTTCATTAGTTCTGATTCATCTGGAGTTTCTCAATGAAATTTCTATTTTGGAGAATGTAACCTGGGGGTCAGCAATATACTATCTTTGAATATTGAAATATTTTGTCATTTCTTCCTGAATGTTGCAGTTCTTGGTATGAGATCAGTTGTTTGTTTATTTAGTTTTCTACATAGACTGATCTGCTTCTCCTCTGGAAAGGCAAAATAAACATTGGTTAGCTAGCATGTATTATGTTATAGGTTGAGAAGATAAATGAACAAGTTTAAAATATGTGGAATTAATTATTTTCATAGTGAATTAAATATTTTTAAAAACTAAATTAATAAAATAGCTTCAATGGGTCAGGTTCATTATGTTTCTTGTTATTCCTCAGTTTAAATTAGCTTTTAAGTCTACATTTTAGTCTGCATTTCCTTTTCAATTTCTTAGTTGATGAAGAAGAGATTAGAGATTAGATCCTAATCTTTTATGCCAATAGCCTACTACTATTCTGATTTCCAGGATATTTCCAAGATTAGTTGCTGAAGTTCTTCCAGGGACATTAATTCCTGGAAGTCTTCTGGACTTTGCTCCCTACTTGGATTTTCAGTAGAGTTGCACAATATGAAGAGCCAGTTCTATCATCAAGTTTGACCTTCAGGTATTTTCTAGGAGGTTGTTATGAAATACAAAGTCTTGGTCCTTCATCAAATCTTATTTCTTCACAATCAGTCATAACCTCTGATTTTTCTCCAACTGTTTGTTTGTTTGTTTGTTTGTCAAACGTGTACAAGATAACAGGTATGAATATGAACATGGATATGAACAAAGAAAATGAATACAAATAAATGGGGACAGTAGGACAGGGATGGTAGGCACCCTGATGCGTTTATGCACGCCCCCTTTATGGACCTCTTAGTAAAGTAGACTGATGGGATTAAGTCCTTGCTCGCAATGCCTACGTGTCTATGTGACATTGTGGAATGAGAGGATTGATGGGATTAAGCCTCCGCTCATGGTATACGTGATATCTCACCTGTGCTGAGCCATCCCGGCAGGACCAAGGAAGTGGTCATATCATACCCATATATGGTAATCATGTGTACATCCAGAAATGAATATACTGACTGAAAATAATATATAAACTTGTATGTAACAACCCTTTGGGGTTCAGACTTTGCTGAGCTATCGCTGCTGAACCTTGCGCAATAAACCTTTCCTTTTGATAAAGAGCTGGAGCTCTTTTCTGTAACATTAGGAATGGGGTGAGATCCACAGTAGACAGTTTAAGGTTGAAGCTGTGAGGGTTAGATGATGTAACAATGGAGTCAGATAGAACATTCCAGGCATTGACCACTCTGTTGCTGAAGTTGTATTTTCTGCAATCGAGTTTCGAGCGGTTTACCCTGAGTTTGTATCGATTGTTTGCCCGTGTATTATTGAGGTTGAAGCTGAAGAAGTTGTTGACAGGTAAGACATTGTAGCAGAAAATTTTGTGTACTATGTTTAGATCAAACCACAAGCGGCACAGTTCCAGATTGTCCAAGCCCAAAATTTCAAGCCTGATGGCATAAGGAATTCTATTGTGAGTAGAGGAGTGGAGTACTCTTCTTGTGAAATACCTCTGGAAGAGTTGTTGCCAGCTTGCTTCAGCATAACAGCCCCTCTTATGGCATTGGAAATTAAAGGCTTCACAGCACAGTAGTTAATAAGCAATTTGTCTCTGCCCATATCTAGTGAAATTATAACTTCATTGAGAGGTTATGCAAAGAAAAGAAATAAAATTCTTCTTTATAGAACATTTGATATTGTGTGTAATCATTGGTGTTTGATATAAATTGCAAAGAGAGAAAAAAGAAACATACAGCACAAATCAGTTATATGTGTATATGAGGCAGGAATAGATTATTTAATTTCTCTGGGCCTAGTATTGATTCAGTACTAGAGACCATTCAATCTTTAGAAACCATTGCTCTTTATTTTGCCTCATTTATTCACACCAGACTTTGATATCTATCTTAAGGTAGATAATTTTTAAGAGATAAAAGTTATTCCCAATTAACCAAGTACTCTAGACATTTAGGTGAGCTAGGCTTGTGTGGGAACAATTTAAAAATGGGTTATAAGTCATCGCTGCACATTCTGCTAGCTAGAATGCCTTTCCAGTCTTGCATTTCTACTATCTCACATAATAACTTATTAAATATCCACAAACAAAAAAACCTGTTTCTCCAGGAGATATCCATTCCCCCTGTTGAGACAGAAAGAAAGCCTTTAGAAGTAATGACATGTAACATATTCAGTGGTAGAGCAAGTATATTGAATGGTTCAAACCAAGATTTAAATTTGAATATTTTTGCTAGAAAAATTATGAAGTAAGCACAAACTCATGTTTTTGGCTACATTATAATCCAACCAGTAGTGGGTTCCATTTATCTTCGCTACCAGTTTGGACTCAGGAGCATGTGCGGGTGCACGGGGCGCTTCTGTGCATGTGCAGAACCTTCTGCGGCAGGGGTGGGTTCTACTTACCTTTACTACCGGTTCACAACAGGAGTGTGCGTGGATGCCTGCTTCGCTTGCGGGAGCACGTGTGCTTCTGCGCATGCGCAGATAATCAATTATGATGTCTGGGTGGGTGGGCGGAGCCTCCCGCCACTTTTATTACTGATTCTAAAGAACCAGATAGAACCAGGAGCAACCCAGCATTGTTTTGCACATGCGCAGGGCATCCATGATGACGTCCATGCAGTTGGGCAGAGCCTCCTGCTGCTGCCACTACCAGTTCACCCAAACTGGGGTGAACTGGTAGAAACCCACTACTGAACCCAACCCATGCTCAAATTGTAAGAATGAATAAGCTGAAACATTTCTAGAAAGCCACCTCCTGGAAATAAAACACCTTTTCATGTATGTTGTTTCAAGAACTTTCCATGACTACAAGGGAAATATATAATAGCTTTCCAACACAGCCCAAAATGGGCAATAATACAGTATGGAATGAAACTATAACATGTGAACAACATGCTAGCTTTTTTAGTGGATTCCTAATAGTTTAAATCTCATGTACGCAGAAAGAAGCAAGTGGACCTATGTTTTCTTTACCTTTTTCATGTCATATATGTTGGGTGAAATAAAAGTGTTTCCAAATGAATAATTCCAAACGTACCAAGTAAGTACATTATGCATGCATTGTGTCTTTCCTTTTAAAATTTTAATTGTAATAATAAAGCGGGGAAAGCAATATTGTCTGAGCATAAATGAGTTATAATATAATACAAGATGTGCTGAAATCTATGGATATGAATAAAAAATTTATTCAGTGTTATTTTGTGGGATTTTTTTTTTAGGTCAAAAGATATGCTACGGTGATTCAGCACATCTCTGCTACAAGATTGCCTATTTCCAAGACATGTCTCGGCGTGTGGGTTTTCAGGAGGCTCGCCAAGCTTGTGAAATGGGTGGTGGAGTACTTCTCAGTCTTGAAAGTGAAACAGAACAGAAACTGATAGAAAATATGCTGCAGAATCTCACAAAATCAGGTCCAGGGATTTCTGATGGAGACTTCTGGATTGGTCTATGGAGAAATGGAGAGGGACAAACCACATCCAGTGCCTGTCCCGATCTTTACAAATGGACAGATGGAAGCAGTTCCCTCTTCAGGTAAATGCTCTTAATATTTTATTCCAAAACTCCTAGCATTAGAAGACCAAGATGTATATGGAGCTAGTAGCAAAAAAATCCCCTCCAACTTGGAGATTGTGTTGAGAGGTCATGTGTTTTGTCATTCTTGCATCATCTTGGTTTTATTAGATAGTTGTGAGTTTCATACTGTATTTTTCTATTGCCTCCCCACATCAGTATGGATTTTTATCATTATTCTTGTACCATTCTTTTCCATTGTGCCTTGTTCAAATATAATTCATAACTGTGTTAGTGAGATGATAGGTAGTATCTACCAAGAATTGCCTGTCAAATATAATGGAATATGTCTTTTGGTCTCACTTGTTCCTGAATCTTGAAGAAAGAATATTTCTTTCTTCCCATATTCTGCACTGTTATTCAAAGACATATTTTTGACAAACATATTTTTACTGACCACTACATATAATAGTTTTTCCTTCCATTATGGGTTTGGATGCCAACAATGTCCATTTAGGGTTGTTGTGTTTTTTGTTTTTTTTGTATAACTTTAGTATAAATTCTGCAATAGATCTTTGCCCCAACTTATGCTTATTTGGCATGGGAAAATGTAATGAAGGAATTGCACAAAGCCCAACGTCTTAGCTAACTTGGAAATATGGGAAAACTGAAAGGAAGAAAAAACTATTTAACAGAATAATAAAGATTCAAAAGTTATATTTTGCATTTGTTATATTTCTGCTTTATAGAAATTGGTATACTGATGAGCCTTCCTGTGGGAGTGAAGCTTGTGTTGTGATGTATCACCAGCCAACAGCAAATCCAGGTTTAGGAGGGCCTTATCTTTATCAATGGAATGACGACAGATGTAACATGAAGCACAATTTCATCTGCAAGTATAAGTCAGGTAGGCCATGATAAACCAAGTTCTTGATGCAATCTTTTACTTTTGAAGCACAGATAAATCAGCAGTGGCACTTTTTGTAAACTAGACTCAGAAATAAGGAAGAAACGCCTGAATAATGTAGTTTACTGTTAAATAATGTTTCTGCCTTTGTGTTTGTCTTCTGAATTTTTCATACTGATGACATGTAGGCTGCTAAATCATTCAGTGCAATAGCAATCTAATAGATTTTATAGGTCTGATATTGAGCTATAGAAGCTCAGTTAAGCTCACCTAAGTAGTCTCATAACTAGGTCAGATAATGTGTTCAAAATAATAACCAAGTAAGATCAATGTGCTTCATAAAATAGTTGTGTAAAAGAATGTATTAGTTATGATCTGTTCTATTATATATAGTTCATATATACATCCTTCACTGTTTTTATTTTTGGATATTCTGTGAAAACAGGACAGATATATATCACATGATCTTTGAAATAAGAATGGGATAAAAATAGAATGTTTAAAAAAAGTTCTGGGCCTTGTTTTTTCCTAAATATCATTCCATGAAATACAGTGCTTCATATTCATGTTTCTATAAGTCTTCCACAATTTAGTGCCTCTTGAGGCTTGGAAGTTACAGCAACAAGTCCAATTCACTTGAAAAATGAACTGAATGAGTATTCAATTTGTTTTCCCAGATGAAAGTAGACTGGGGGAGGGTAGGTATAAAGGCTGAAAAATCTTATTAAAGTTATTTTTGATGTTGCGTACAAAACAGTAAAAATAATATACTTTTTAAATGTTTCTTATTGATTTAACAGAAGACCTTGTAGAAAAAGAATCAGGACACAAAACAGATTCACATCATGGTAAGAACATTTTGGACCGAATTGCGGTGTTGAGAAATAAAATCTGAATTATTTTTGAAATCGAAACAGATTAAAAAAGCAGGCTAAGTTGGAACATTTGAACTATCATAGCAATTCAGAAAAATATCCAACTGTGCGTTTTATAGCATATTTTGATAACTTTTATTCCAGATGTGATTCCAATGTTGCAATAAAACCTGTAGCCAGAATTTATCACCCACACTTGATTTTAAAAATGATTAGCTGTAGAATGTTGTTACCTTGTCTAAGTATAATCACCCAAGCAGATGCAGACATAGAAAACAATTTTACTGTTCTTTTCCCCCCAAAAACCTGTTTTTTTTCAGAAATTCAAGCAACAGTGCCAGCTGTGAAGCCTAATGATCCAAGCAAGTCAGAAGATGATTTTCCATTGGTCGTTACTGAAACTGGTGGTAATTGATATATTTAGTTTTTAGATCACATTTCAGAATGCTATTTCGAAAGTCCAATTAGATGCACTTAGCATTTTGAAGGAAAAATGATATAAATTTGGGATAGACATCCTGGGATTCAACAGAAAGTAAATTGCAGAAAGGAATTTCAAGTATAATTTTCTGGAAATGCCAATTGAACATAAATGAATGCAGGCAAAATGGACAGCAATAAAAACAAAATCCAATAAAATGTTGGCAAGTGAACAAATACTTGAAATTTGCATTTTTGAAATTAACATTTTTCTTAATTCAGTTTTTACAAATGGCAGGTCATGAAATAAAAAAAATAAAAAAATAAAGTGGTCCTATTGGCCATGACAACAAGAACATGCTGTTGTACCAAGTTTGCTCTTATACATGTGTGGAAACTTGGAAATCCCAAATCTAGCATCTTGGAAATATAGACAGTTGCAGATTAATCACATGATAACTTTTATGCTTTGTGCCATATGCTTGCATGGTGAATGTTTTGCTTCCCTAAATCCTATTGCATTTTCAAGGTCAATAAAGAAGTAGAAAGATGTTGTGTCCAGGAAGGCCTTAGTACAGCTCCAACCGGTATACCAGCTATATTTCTTTCTGGATAAGGAGCACAGACAATCATTCATGTGTTTATTATCTCAGGCTTGACTGTTGCCATATTTGCTCTTAAGTACTACTTGGAGCTTCAATTAGTCCAGAATGCAGTGGAAAGGACTGCTATAGGCATGCCTTGGTATGCCTATGTGATACTATGTGATACAATCAACAAGACTGAAGATTCAAGTTGCTGTTTATGACATATAAGTGTTGTTAGGATGAGGATAGCTCTAATCCTAGCTCCTGTAGTATGGGATGGGTTCAGGTTTTTGACCACTCTTCTTTAATATCTATGTGAAACTCCTGGAGGAGATCATTCATGCTGTGCAGCATCATCAGTATGCCAATAATATCATGTTATACATCTCTACTCTGGGTGATGTGCTGCAGTGACACAATGCATTGAAACTGAAGAAACTGGCTCCAATTTAATCCTGGCAAGATAGAATGGCTTTGGATTTTAAGCACTGCAGGTTCTGGTGACATATCATTTTTGGCTCTAGATAGAGTGGCACAGAGCAGGTGCACAGTTTGGGGGTCTTTCTAGACTCACAGCTCCTGTTGAAGGTGGGGGCCTTTGCACAGATTCGTCTTTTGTACCAATTGTTTCTGTTATTTCTACTATTGTTTCTGTTCTGGACTTGGAGGCTTTTCTTGGGTTGGAATTTTCATAAATCCTTCAATTAAAGTTTGTTATCTGTTAGGATGCAAGATCACATCTCTGTGATGGGATTTGCCATATGGATTAGGGTTTCTCCAATATTCATATGGCACCCATCCTGATAGCATTCCAGAAAGTCTTAAAACCCTGGCTGTTCACCCAGGCCTTAGGCTAGGGAAATCCTATTAGATATGTTTGGGAGCATGAATGTTATTAGTGGACTCACAATCTGTTCTTCTTCTATATTCATTTTCTTATCCCTTCTCATCCCTTCTTTTTTAAATAACATTTTTTATATTTTCTATTTCATTTGGTTTTATTGTATGTTGCCAGATTCAATTTGGATTTGGTTGGTGTCTAAATTGAATATATTGAATTAGATACATTGAATTCAGCTCCTTGTTTAATAGGCGCTACATAATGGAAGTCAATTCTGGCCCATTTCTAGTGAACTGCTTCACCAGTCTACTCCACCCATGTTAAAAAAGTTCAATTCAAATTCAATTCCCCTTCAAAATGAAGGGGAAATTTGCCTTACACTCTTATGTGTGTATTGTTTAAGAAAATAATGATAGACCTTTTGCTTTTCTTCTCCCTCTGTTGGAAATATGGAAGTCTGAAGGTGGTTTTTAGTTGTTTTAGTTGTCAGCAATGATCTTTCATTAAACTAAAGAGAGTAAAGTGATTATAAATTTTAAATGACGTTATGATAATTAACAGTGAGAAGACTTAGGAAACCTATAATGAATGAATTCTGTAGGTAAGGTAGTCAGAAGGAAGGAAATTATTTAGGACAGATGAAGATTTTAAATTTTGCATATAAATATATTCATGAATAAGTAAAGAAATAAGATATTTGGGAAATAAAGAGTCTTTCCAAGTTTGTTAATGTACGGAACATAGCATTTAAGGAATATTATTTAATAAACTGAATTCAGGTTGGCTCTGTTTGTAGCTGTACCATACATAACAATTAAAACTATAGATTGGTTTCTACACTATCTTTAAAATGTGTTCTCTGGCTGAAATGTTCAGATTAAAAAATATGAATTTTAATATACTGTACATTGAAACAAATTTCATGTAAACCTTGGAACTCTGTTCATTAAAAAATATATTGTTTCATATGTTCTAAAACAGGTGCGTCCAAGCAGCGGCCCATGGGCTGTATGTGGTCTGGACAGCTGTAATGTGGCCCCACAAAATTGTAAACCTTTAACAAGATTATGTAATCTATACACATTATTTCAAGGTTCTGAGTAATGAACCCAACCAATCCATCAATTATGAGACTTTCAGCCTTCTCAAATAACTGCTTTATTGAGAACATCATATCGACACTTTTGAAATGCAAAACCAGCTCTGGTTATTTCCCATGCTTTCAGTATAGTAAAATAATAGACAGCCCCTTCCCGCCTTGTCACAGGTCACATTGTTATATAGGTGCTCTGACATCTCCTTGGTAACTTCTTTCAGTCTCTGGCCAGCACCTATTGGAATGACCTTGGTTCCCACAAGATAGTAAGTTGTTGATGTCTGGTCTGACATTCCAGAGCTCCAGAAAATGGCTGCAACAGACCTGATCCGTTTCAAAGTTGACACATTAAATATATATTTTATATGTGGGCCAAGACAATTTCTCTTCACAATGAAGCCCAGGTAAACCAAAAAGTTGGACATCTGTACTCTGCTTTATTCAGATCTTTTGTTATACTTTTTGTATAACCAAAGGAGCCATAGTGGTGGAGTGCTTAGAATGCAGCTTTGCAGGCTAACTCTGTTCACTGTCAGGAGTTTGATCCTGACTGGGAGAAGGTTGATTCAGACTTCCATCCTTTTGAGGTTAGTAAAATGAGTGCCTAGGTTGTTGAGGGCAATATGAAGCGGTATATAAGTCTATGCTATTGCTATCCCATTGGTGGATAAATTACTAGAGTAAGCAACTTTAAAATACATTTTGAAACTTTCTCTTGGTTGTATATTATAGGGGAAAATTATTTTTGCCATTAGTGCTTTGAAGAAATTTCAGGATTAAAATATTTAGTTACCTTTAATCACTGTTTTCAGAGTCCTTGGTTTGCATGGTGTCAACACCAAGCAAAGTAAAATATTTATATATTTATTATTTTGCTATACAAATTAGTCCTCCTATATTTTAAAGTGTAATAACACTCTTTTTTTCTTGTAGGTCTAATTCCTAATTTAATTTATGTTGTTATACCAACCATACCACTGTTGTTGTTGATATTAGTGGCTTTTGGGACTTGCTGTTTCCAGATGCTGCATAAAAGGTAATTCAGTGTTTTATCAATCATAACAATTTGTATCTGTGATTTTGTGTACTTTGGAATATATGTTTACATCAGTCACTTACTCATATTCAAATCCAGTGTACATAAAATGCAAAACTAGTCATCCTGAATGACATCCATAATATTGCATGTATTGTAAAAGAAGAATGTGTTTAAAAATGTAGCCACCTACTCAAAGATAAAATGTGCAACGTAAATAGACGGAATTAGTTGTGGCCCTGTCATAGATCAAATAGTATTGTTAAACCAATATAGATTAGCTTGTTGCTTATGTATAACATCATTAGAAAAGTAGCATTTCAGTCTAACATCAAAATAAAGCATATTAGCTTTACAGTATGAATATTCTATTATATATTCTGCTTTAAGCAGAAGTAATTATGCTCAAAAGTATTTCCTGCTTTGGAAATATTCAAACGAAACATTTTCCAAAGAATGGATCATTTCATTTTCCATCCCCTCTTAGAATATTATGGCCACTGTTCATTTTGTTTTGTGAAGTGGGAATGCTGTTGCATAAGAAAAGTTAAACAATGCTCCGGTGTGGAACTTTCTATCCACTTATTTTCATAATATTTAATATTTAATCTTACTTTAATGTATAATTTCCCAATTTTCTTGGCAATGCAAGACCTGTCAAATATAGTATAAGCGGCTGTGTCCTAAAAAAAACAAACAAACAAAAAATCAAGGCCATCTACTCAGTCCAAAGAACTCACAAGATGTCTTGTTAGAGCTTTCTTGCACAATCTTCTGAAGTATTTATGTAATCAATTTGCAAACTGTTTCCCAAAACTTCAATGGTGATTGGGAAGGATGCATGTAAATAACTATATGGCAATTATGACATTCGGTTTCCAACAAGGTAACAGGCTTACTCTCTGCCACTGAGCAGGGGTGTGTGACATACACTCAGAAACATGGGTAAGAAACACAGGAGGATTAATTAAATGTTTCAAGAGGAAAGAGTTGATACAAAGTTGCAATTTTAGTAGCAATTCCAAATATAAATATTTATATTTATGAGCTCCAGGGGAAAAAAAAGTTGGTTTTATTTTCTCCAGAAAATGCAGCAAATAATTTTTTTTTGCCTCCTAAACATGTGATATGTTAGTGAGGAATTATGGAAGTTAAATCTAATATTTAGAGAATGTAGGTTAGCAATACTGAATAAATATTTGGTTATAAAAAAGAAAACAATATTGGACATGCAGATATTAACCCATCATATTAGGAACCAAGCATTTCTCCTGTGCTTTATGGCAAATCATTCATGCTTAGAGGCTTTCCCTTTCTTTCTTCTAGGGAAGCAAGGAGAAACTGCTTCAATGATTCATCTCCATTATCATCTGAATCCCTTACAGAACATTTAGATTCTAACTTGGTACATTGCTCAGTTTCTAAGGTCATCTTTTGATTCTGTTTTGAAGGCAGAATGTCAGTGCCTAAGCTACCCAGTATTCTTCTAAAAAATTAAAAACGCTGATTACTTTGAGCTTTGACAATCTTGAAATTATGATAAACTCTTATAAACTCATGGAAAGTTAGCAGTGTTCCTACTGAACAATAGTTTGGGGAATATGTTCTTGCCACATTTGTTCAGAGGAAATCCTTTAAAATCAGCAGCAACATTAATAGCTTTATTTGGCTTCCTTCCATGCTGCTGTAATATTTAAAACAACCATTTTGAATGCCCTTTCAGAAGAAAAATGGGAAGCAAATCAAATGAATCATCATCACCACCATCGTCATCCAAAAGCTATATGATTGCAGCCTATCAAAAATTTTTGCCACTGAGTTGCAATTGTTAATGTGAAAGAAGTAAAAGTTTTCAAAATACAAAGAATAATAAAATGTTACTTTCTATCCTGCCCTCCTTTGGGGAACATAGTTCATGGCACAGCACTCCAAAAGCAGCCCTCGCTGTCCAACAGCTCACAATTTTTGTTCAGAAGTTGGCATTAAAAGAGTAATTTCATTCAATATGGACTGCTACATTGATATTGCCTTGTCTTACAGCAATATTACCCAAACTGGGTAATCACAACCAGGTGTATACATTTACACTCCCAAAATTCCCCAGCTAGCTTTAGGAGTAGAATTTCACAATCTGGAGAATTCTCCAAATTGGGAAACACTGTTCTATGCCAATAGAATTTGAAGCCACTGGCTACGAAGGTCTTCAAGTACTCACCTGGCCAGGTGCTTGTTTCACTGGAAGATTTCCCACATTTATATAATCATTAGCCTTTTCTTCAGATTTCCTCAGTTTTGTTGCGGTTTTCTTCTTGCTAATACTTTGCTTTATGCTTTAACTATACTAATGCAGAAGTTATTTATAAAAACTCAGTTGGCACTAAGTCATTGATAAGCTAATTGGTACAGGCCTTGTGTGTTAAATATTGCACAAGACCTATAGGCTGTTCAGATATCTTCCTTACGTCTAAGATTAGTTTTAAGCTATATGTATGTAGTGCTTTTGAACCAGGGTAAATGAAGCAATATTCCTAATACAAACATTCAGATATTTTTTTTATAATTTATTCCTTACCACCTTCCTTTATTGCAGAGTTCCTAGTTGAATATGTGAAATTATGTGAACCAAATGTATAGCCATGGATTTGTGTTTTTAATTTTCCAGTAAAGGAAGAACAAAAACCAGTCCTGATCAGTCAACACTGTGGATTTCTAAGAACCCAAGAAAGGACAGTAACCTGGAAGTATAGAAAACTGGCTGAAAAGAAAGCAGGAATGATACTTTTCAGGATTTCTTAGATTGTCTTGTTAAATATTAGTTTGGAATGGCTTGAAATTGCAACAGATCAACAGAATGAAGTGGAAGCTCCCCCTTGAAATGATTGCTTGGATCATTTTTTAATATATGATTTTTGGTTTTTAATCCCATAGCAAACATAGCCAGCTAAAAGAAAATAAGAATATGATTATTTTGCTAAAGAAAGTAATTTGGCTACGAATACTAATGAGATAGACCGAACATTTTGAATTCATTCCATGTGACAGTTGTAGTACAAATATTTCTAATTTAACCTTTAACATTTATTTCCATTATTAATTTCATATATATTGTATTGTTTCTCGCTAATGGATGGACTGTAATTCCAGCTAATATGAATTTACGATGTATTAAGATAATTTATCTTTGCATAAAAAATTCTACACTAGAATATGAGTTATTGTAATCTCATATATGTAAAAATATTTATCAGTGTTAATTTGAGTGATGAGATTCTTTTTTAAGGCAAAGAAAATGATGCACAGTACTTGATTATTCTTTGCTACCATCTATTTTTGATAATGCTTGTCCAATGTTAGCACAAATTATTCTACTCAGGTCATATTAATTAGTACAAAATAATACAATTAGTACATTCAATTCCCTGAAAACAAGCTGAAAGAGAAAGTAGCTTTTCCTATGTATGCTTTACTGTTGGAACAAGCAATGGCAGAAATGTATGGTTGACAACTTATTCCATACTGGTATCTTGTTCTGTTTTTGTTTTTGTTGTTTTGCTTTTAAATCATGAGAAAGAGAAATTGCCCTGATGCCACTTAGAAATGCTATCTTTTAATCACTTAAAAATCATGAAATGTACACACTGTCATGGAGTTTCCTTCCTTCCTTCCTTCCTTCCTTCCTTCCTTCCTTCCTTCCTTCCTTCCTTCCTCCTTCCTTCCTTCCTTCCTTCCTTCCATCCTTCCTTCCTTCCTCCCTCCCCCCCTCCCTCCCCCTCCCTCCTGTGTTCCTGTCCCTGACTGACAGAATTTGACACCCCTTATATAGAACATCACTTTATGCATACTTGAATATATAAAGAAGTTGTGTACAGTTTTTTTAATAGATTCAAGATGAGAAAACAATGAAAGTAGAATTCAAAGGCTAGAATATCTTTCTTGTAATATTTCCTTTGACACAAATAACAGTTTGCAAATATTTCCTGCAGACAGCTAAGAGTCTTTTTATTCTTTTGGAAATTTTGTTCCTATTTGCAAAAGTCTAGATTTGAAGACCAAGAAAAATATTTGTGAAACTGCCTTAGAACTGCTCAGATCTGCAAAATAGATCCTTAGTATGGCATTGTTTATATGACAGTGATAAGTATGAAAAGGTTGCTAGAGAATATATACAAAAGTGTGTTTGTGTATGTGTATACATACATACATACCAGTACATACACACTTTGTATTTGTAAATAACTGCACACAATTCTATATTAAGATTCTGTAAACAACTGTACACATTCAGGTTTGTTAAGATGCCATTTTCAACTTCCATCATACAGACGTTTTATCAATTTGATCTAATATGCCTCCCTTATGCATGTTGGGTTATTGAAAGATATTCCTTATCCTAATGATTGTGTTATATCAAAGACTTCCAGGAAATATCATGGCTGTAGGATAGACTTGGATGTAAACAAGTATGCCCTTGCCTCCCTTCTTCCCTCAAAAAATAAAAGACAATAACAATATTGCTTCCATATTGCTGCCAAGAAAATGACACAGTGATATCTATGAAATCACCAAAAGTTGAGTTTGATGCTATTGTGCTGGTCATTTCCTAAAAATAAGAAAATGATGCTGGGATTTTTCTGTCTCTTGGCCAACATGGAAGCATGTATTAATAGCAGTTGTACTTGTACATTAGCTGCAATGGAACTGAAGTTTGGCTCTTCTTTCTGAATTTGTAATATTTCTTATTTAAATTTAGATTAATGTTATTTCATTTAAAATACAGAAATGTCTTGAACACATTCTGACAGTATGATTTAAAACGAATGAAATATATGCATATGTGATTTCACAGAAATAGCATATCCCATTGATTTCAATAGAAAGCTGGTCTTTATAGCTATGAGTTATTTTTCAAAGATTTCCATCTTATAGTAAGTGCAGTAGTTGTTTGGTTATCCCATTATGCACTGCACGAAAAAATCTAATTTTTTTAAAAAAAATTGATTTATATGCTGCCCTTCTCTGGAGACTCAGGGTGGCTTACAATGCATTAAGCAATATTAAAATTTAAATTATTTAAAATTAATTAAATTGAGAATAAAAAATTATCTACTTGATTTGAATGATTAGATCCATAGTATTTTCTAGTTAATTTGACTAGACATGAGTATTTCATGAGTACTGCTAATCAATACTATATCCTGAATTTTTGCATAAACTATACATACACTTTGCATTGACTACTTTCTTAATAAACTGAGTTAATGGGAACTGATTGGAGAGGTATATCACTGAGGTTTTCTGATTGGAGCCTTAGTAATGACATATATACTGAAATATCATTACTGATTGAAAAAAGCAGTCATTTGTAAAACTCTTACAAAATAATTTTTTTTATTATTATTTAAATGTATTCACAGCCTATTGTCTTTTGCCTATCTGCAAAAGACTCTTATACAGAGTTTAATTCATGGTGTCATCAACTGCTCTTCTCAGTAAGTGTAAAGGCACAGTTTTACTGAGGGTTGTACTTTCAACAAATCAGTATGTTATCTGAGCTACCCTTCTCTTCTCTTGTTCAAGCATTAAGAGAGTAGCCGGAAGAAAAATATTGCAACTTGTGGATAAATGTCAGTGAAACTTTCAAGTACTTGTTCAGATCACTTCTAACACAAACTTGGCCATAATTTGAATTATTATTTTTTGCTTGATTCTGCCAAACTTTATTTGGCAGAATGTGATGCTCTAATCACATTCTTTTTCAATCCTATATTCTTTCTAGTTTTTTTTTTAAAGTGCTAATAATTAATGGTACGTTTTATCCAGTCTACAAATTTGAAAACGTTTACATAAATTCCAGGGCGATTTGGAAGTGCACACTTGTAGCCAAAGGATGTTACACCAGCTAGAAACCATTTTTTATTCTCTTGACACATCAGAGGCCCACCGGAATCTCCCTGAAATGACAAAGAAAAATTAAAATATTATTATTGTTGACAACACTATTACTATGAATGTAACTGTTTAATAAGACAACTGTCAGTTTTATGTAATAGTTCTGCAAGCTTCTCTGTAAGTCGTAAGTTTAAATGAAACATACTTGGCCTGTGTAAAAGTTATGTCATGATGCTCATATAAGTATTGAAGAAAGAAATGCCTTTCATAAAGATCCTTTACCCAACTTGTTAACCATGGGCAGGAAATGCTTCAGTGAGATAAATTCACTGAAATGAATTTATCTATCACCCTGATCCTGTCTTGGCATTGAGGCAACCTTCAACCATATTTTGATGCTCTGCTCCAAAAGTTATGTCTATTACTTGTGTCTATATGGACCTGGCCATGCTGTTTCTTTGCTGTTATGTCAACTCAATCTCTGCAATTTATGTATTTTTATGTAAGAACTGTGAAGGCAAAGTGGTTAGAATGCAATACTACAGGCTACTTCTGCTGACTGCCAGATGCCAGCAGTTTGGCAGTTTGGTCTCACCAGCTCAAGGTTGACTTAGCCTTCCATCCTTCTGAGGTCAGTAAAATGAGGACCCAGATTGTTGGGGGCAAAATGCTGACTCTGTAAACAGCTTAGAGAGAGCTGTAAAGCACTGTGAAATGGTATATAAGTCTAAGTGCTATTGCTATTTCTGTTAATTGCTTGCAGTCACTGTTACTGCTGTCTGTAGCTTTTTTGGGGGATTCTACATATGAGGAAAAGAACACATCCACAGAAGCCTTAATCCCTTGGTGCTTTATAATATTTTATAATGATAAAAACAGAGATTATATATATGATTTATTTTTCTGATAATTTCTGAAGTACTAATTATAGCTGGTCAAGGAGAACTAGTGATCTATTGGATTTCAATAGTTAGAATAGGCTTTTTTGAATAGGTTCTTTGATGGACTAGTGAAATTTTGAATGAAACTTCATTCCTTCTCTACCTCTTTCCCTTGTTAAGTTGATAATAGTATTACTATTTTTTTCCTTTCAGCCAAAATGGTAAGAAAAAAGGTAATATTTTTTTGCTGCCATACTTGGAGATATGCCAGATGTAAAAGACTTAAGCATAAGGAGGCAAGGGGAAAGGAATCAATGTAACAAGACTGATGCAAGAAGTCTACCAGTGAAAACTACATGACCTCAAAGATGCACCTCCCTGTCCCAAGGAAAGGAATGTGATGGCTTCCTTTCTAAAACATATGCAGAATGGGGAATCCATCAATTGATAACCATTAGCCAGAACACCTAGCCAGCAGCATTGCCAAGCTTGAATAATGGATTTGAATCTGGTCAGAAATAGCAATAGCACTTAGACTTATATACCGCTTCACAGTGCTCTATAGCCCTCTCTAAGAGGTTTACAGAGTCAGCATATTGCCCCCAACAGTCTGGGTCCTCATTTTACCGACCTCGGAAGGATGGAAGCAGTGGTGGGTTGCCCCCGGTTTGCACCGGTTCTATAGAACCGGTAGTAAAACCGGTAGGAAGCTCTGCCCACTGACCCTGACATCATCAAAACGCTTCTGTGCATGCGCACGAGCTTCTGCGCTTGTATAGAAGAGCGCGCATGCGCACAAAGCAAACATGCATGCACGGCCCCGTTGTGAACCGGTAGTAAAGGTAAGTAGAACCCACCCCTGGATGGAAGGCTGAGTCAACCTTGAACCTGGTGAGATTCGATTTGCCAGTGATTTATTTATTTATTTTATTTTATTTTTATTTTATTAGATTTATATACTGCCCTACTCCCGCAGGACTCAGGACGGTGAACAGCCAGATAAAACACACAAATTACAAAATTTAAAAACCATATAAAATCTGATTAAATAATTTGGCCCGTGACAATTTAAACAACCCCAATGTTTTTAAGACAAATTTAAAATTCATCATTAGAATTAAAAAGGAAAAGAAAAAGTTAGGCCAGGCCGGCCTGTTGAAATAGGAAAGTCTTGAGAGCACGGCGAAAGGTGCATAGATCCGGGATCCTCTGTATCTCTGGAGCTCATTCCAGATATCAGGTGCTCCCACAGAGAAGGGTCTCCCCCTAGGGGCCGCCAGTCAACACTGTTTGGCCGACAGCACCCGGAGGAGCCCCTCTCTATGAGAGCGTACTGGCCGGTGGGAGGCTATTGGTGTCAGCAGGCGGTCCCGTAAATAATCAGCAGAAGTAGCCTGCAATACTGCACTCTAACCACTGTGATACCGCAGCTATTAAATGTATTAAATGTATTAAACTAGCTTCATTTCCTAGTTTCAGTACAG